TTTCTGATTGCTTTGCTGATCTTTGAGAAAGTTCTTTCATTTTTCAATGTGTACAATGGAGAAACTACTACCTCAAAATAGAATTTCTGCACAGTCATATTTGTACCAATGTCGTCGAAGGTCAAACTCACAAATCAAGTGCACGAAAAACTTCTGTGACGTCTTCTTCAGGCTTTCCTATCGCCTCCTCTTTCTTCTGCCTCGCCATCATCACCAAGAACTCTTCAACGCCAATGGTGCTGCTTTCTAAGTTCAGAGCACACTGAAATATAAGCTCTGTCCATTGTTAACCATGAACATTTGTGAACAAAATGATGTTTGAAAAGAAGAGATATTGCTAATGTTTAAGCTCCACGTAAGTGTTTTTGAGAACTGTTGCAATCTGAGATTTGACTACCTTTTTTGAAACTCAAGACCATCAGTCATACGTGAAATGGGGTAAAATGTTGTGTACTAAATAGCAAAGATGTGAACTAATTTAGATTTAGATTTAGATTTTATTATCAAGTGTACTCAAGTACAGAATTACAAGAGTACAGTGAAAAGTGTACAACGTTGCCACACGCGTCCCATCTCAGGATCAAAGGTACTTAAGTCCAAAAAGCATAGGTACGAATTAGTAATAGAAAAAGAGTTAAAAAGTTAAGCATTACCTTCAGATAGCAAGTAGAAAAGTAAAGAATAAAGGTCATAGTTAACATTACAATCCTTCTTAATTTAGTCGAGAAAATAGAACAGCTATTTTACCTCCAGGATTTTTCTTATCTGCTCCAGAAGGAATCATCGAAGAAATAATATCACAGTAAAATTACACACAACACAATTTGGATTCTCCTGCACATTGGAACCATCAAACACAGAGTGGAAGACCATTTTCCCAAACACTTCAGCACAGCTCACAAGAATGTCCCTGAGATTTCATTGACGTGTCATTTTAATTCCCCATGATGGTCTCTGGCTGACATCGACTTGGCCTGCTGCACTGTCCCCGGGAAGATTAAGGTAACAAACTGTGCCTCGTCTTCTAATTAGGCACTTAATAGCTGTATGGACTCAAACATTTCATTCCATTTCACAGAGTCCTCTACTTTGTTTCCAAATCTTTCCTTTTTAATGTTTGTTTCATAATGTTGCACAGCTGCTGTAGGCACATTTTGGTTTATTTGTTTATTTTCTTGCCCCATCTCAATTTCCTTTGGCCCCTGAAGACTGACTGTTCTGTCATCAATTCTCCCTGTCTTCCATTGCATCACAGATCTTTCTTTTGTACGAAAGATGGCAGGGTGGAGAACTAAAATGACAGGCCTCTGAAAGCACCACGAAGCCGGTCTGCAAGATTCTTAAAGAAAGAAGGCCCTCATTGAAAACCCAGCACAGGAAATGCTGTAGGAATTTTCATGATTCCATCACCCTATGAGATTTCTTCACCTCCCCAGGCCAACTTCCAGAGTCTGTGAGTGGCTGCTTCGAGATAAGAATTTTCCTCCAAGCAGGTTGGTCTTGATACCTGTCCAGCGCGTAGATAAAGATGTAGCGAGGTGCTATCAACTAGAGATGCCTACAATTAATGTCTGACTGTTTGTTGAATGTCTCGAGCCACTGCAGTCCATTTAGTGCAGGTCGGCACACAATGTCTGCATGGAGGGAGCACCAGGTTTTTGACCCAAAGACATGATGAAAATGGAGATATAGTTCCAAGTCGGGATGGTCAGTAGCTTGGAGGGGAGCACGCAGGTGGTGGTGTTCCCATGTACTTGCTGCCGTTGTCCTTCCAGGTGGTAGTGGTCATGGGCTTAGGACATTTTGTCGATAGAAGCTTGGTGAATTTCTGTATTGCATCTTGTATATGGTGATGAATGTATCGTTATACTATTTGTTCCTTGATTTCATGTATGTGTTTCATACTTTAAATTGTGTGAGGCAATTGCCATCTTGTCTTTGCCTATAACAGTAAGGGTTGCACAGTGTCTCAGTGGTTAGCACTGTTGCCTCACAGTGACGGAGAGCTGGGTTCAATTCCACCCTTGGCCAACTGTCTGTGTGGTGTTTGCACATTCTCCCTGTGTCTACATGGGTTTCCTCTGGTTACTCCAGTTACTTCCCACAGTCTAAAGATGTGCATGTTAGGCAGACAAGCCATGCTAAATTGCACATGGTCTCTCGGGGAGGGTAGATTAGATGAATTAGCCATGGGAAATGCAGGGTTACAAGGATAGAGTAGAGTGAGGGATGCTCTTTGGAGGGTTGTTGTGGACTTGATGGACTAAGTAGCCTGTTTCCACACTGTAAGGATTCTATGATTAAACATAATGGCACAATGGTTTACTCATAACAATCCTTTAAGTGAACTTTCACCAACTGCAGCTTGTTGTGCTATAGACTGTGCTGTGACTCAGTTTGAAGCATTCATGTCTGTGAATTCACATTTGTGGTTTCTAGTCTGACACAGCCATCATCTGTGGATCCTGGGATATGATTTAAAAGAAGAGCAGGAGAGGCCAATATTTATTCCTCATAATATCACAAGAACGGGTTATCTACTTATGTGGACTTTGCTGTGTGCAGGTTGGTGACTGCATTTCCTTCGTAAAATGCTGAATACCCTTTCAAGATACTTCACTATTTATAACACCTGTTGAGATATCCTGTGTTCATGAAAGATGTACCATTTAAATGTAAATGGTTTTGGCGCCAATATATAAATCTCTTTTGAATGATATAATTGAACGTTGTCACCTGCTAAAGATAGAGAATAAAAATCTAGAGAATCCATGGCATTCACCAAATGAAATGCAACAACAACTGGTCGGAAAAACATTGACATTAGGTTTATTAGGAAAGGGTTGCAAATAAACTGTGTAGTGTTCCGTGCTGGTAGCAAAATGACAAAGCGTTTCGTACATAGGAGATTGCTTCTTCCTCACAAAGAAAAAACTGTAGCAGCCAGGAAGCTGTCTGCTACATATGTAGCTTCAGTCCTGTAGAACAGATTTTGAATTATTTGCAATCATCATTTTTATTTCAGATATCTGTTCAGTTGGCTGAAGAAGGGCAACAACACACAATTCATTAAATTGTTGAATTGTAATGGGTTGCTGAGGGATGTTGCTTTTTTACTGGACATTCTCCACCATCTTCACCAATTCTGTAAAGGGGCGAAGATATTTGATTGAAAACGTGCATGTTTTAAATACTCAATAGTAAGCCAATATAATATCACTAATGAATTTGTTTTTATGATTTGGACATACCATCAAAATCAAGTTTGCCATTATTGTTCTTGTCCGATTGTGTCATGAATTCATGAATTGCCTCCTCTGTAACTTGCTCCCCAAAACCCGCGATGATATTCAGCTCGGCATTATCGATGAAACCATCAGCATTCCTAGAGTCAGCAAGGAAAATATGAATGTCTCCAATCCAGTAACGTTATCTACTTTACCAAAATAGAAGTTGCTACATGAGAAAAGATCAGGTCCACCTCTTTTCACTTTGTTTCTGCCTGGAAATTTACATTATTTAATCTAATCAAGTAATCCATTTCAATCACTGGTCTAAAACATATCTAGATATCATGTATGAACATCTCAGGAAACAGCTTCAGAAACCTTAGGTCGAAAGTCATCTGTTCAATCCGGGAAAGCTACACTTCCCACACAATGTGTCAAATTACTCAAGACCTTAACTGAATAGTGTGCCCTCTACTCTGAAAGCAATTACAAAGAATTTGTCATTATAACCTTCTATTACATTCAATCCATACCTAGCTTTCCTTTAATTGCTGTTGTAATCTTGAATACATTTTTGGTTCCACATTTTTGGTCATGACAGTTTTTTTTTTAAAATATCTTCTGTTGATTTTCTCTACTTATGTTCTCCATAGCTTTTTACATGGATCTGGCAAGGGCAGCATTGTTGTATATGCCTAATTGCTCTTGAATGGAGTTGCTTGTTCAGTAATTTCAGAGTGCAGTTACAAATCAGACGCATTTCTTCTGGTCTGGAGACGCATTCAGGCCAGGTAGGTAAGGATGGCAGATTGTCTTCCATAAAGGACACCAGTGAATCAGAGAGGTTTTCACAATAATCAATGACAGTTGTCACAGTCATCATTAATATTATGCTACAGATTTATTGATTGAGTTTTCTAATTCTAATGACAGGATGAGATTTGAAAGTTTGTTCCTGGAGCATCAGCATGAGCCACTGGCTCGC